GGAGTCATTGCTGTTATGAATATATGCTATACTATCTCAGAGCAATAAGACCGTGGAGTCACAGTTTTAAGTATATAGTAAGGTGTCTTGGAGGTTCTTATATAATCTTAATTCCAAACTTATAACTTAGAAATTTAGTTGACTAAGAGAATTAAGAGATTCCTAGGGATTGAGGAAAGACTATTCCTTTGGACCAGCTAACCCATTTGTTTAGTAGAAACAAGCAATCAAAAATTTGTTTGGAATCATGATCTGCATTTAATAATTTAACTATTTATTATTTTCAATAATGGTTTCAAATAGAGTTTAGGACCACACTTGCTGTAACCAAGAAATTGCAATGCTTGACTTTTTCTCTCATGTTTTATGGTCAGTGTCAGATCATCTATAATTAAGTGGCAAATTGCCAGTGTTTGTGTTTATTAAGGTTCATTTGCTGTTGAAAGAAATTAAAATACTTTTTGAGATTTTAAAAAAGTACAGGGTACAAATATATGAAGAAAATATTCTTTTGCCTGAACACATTTCAAAGGGAAAATGTGTATGTATGTAAAAGTCACAGAACCATATTTACTGAACTTGAAATAGTTTTGCAAATTTCCATGGCAGCACTGATTTATGTGGCTTGAACATTTCTCATTTTTCCTCTCTTTCTCATTTCACAAACTTTGTCAGTTTCTAACTAAAGATGTGCTTGGAAACTCACTGTGCTAATAGGCAAAGTTGGCCTTTCCTATGCTTCCTTTCAAATAGCCCATCCTGAAACAGTGACCTTTTAGTTTAATAACAGTTTTATTTGAGAAAATGTTCAGATCCTAAGAGCTGGAAAGTGTTTTCAGAAAGGCCATTTTTAAATAGTGGTCTCCAAATGGTGTATCTTTTTCCCTTATGCTCTTTGGATCAGACCTATCAGAAGAAATATATTGTTGCTTTCTGTATTTTATTGATTTAAAAACAAATAACATGAAGCTTAGATCTGCTCAAAACCCATTACTACATGGTTTATTTTCCTTCCTGTGCTTTGACTTGCTATTTTAAACTCTTTATGCTAGGTCATGTTTTATCTTTTGTTATTTTAAAATCTTGACTGTAGCTAAGGTAATTACTTTTTCAGGTGTGACCTTGGGCTTGAGACCGAAAGCTGTAATTTTTTTTTCTTTTCTGGAAATAGGGCATTAGAAAGACAGCTGTGTATTAGTCCTTTTACTGATGAGGAATGATATCACCCAATTTATTTACCCACTTTGGCATTGTTCCTGGAGCTTTCTTGCCCTTTTCGTTGCTGGTGCTTTCCTGTTCCCATTTTTCTGCCTTCCCTTGTGGTCTGCCTCCATGATGCTTCTTATTGATGCTCTTTATCTGCACCAGGTCTCTCCTTACCCCACAGGAAGTGGCAGGGCTAAGGGCTGGCAGAAGGGTATGGAAGAAGCAGCAAACTCTTTAAGTTGGATTTCTTTCTCCCCCTACCACTGCTTCTGCACAGTCTCATCTGCATGGCTTTCTTTGCATCCATTAAGCTGGTCACTGTTTGATAATTGTGTCCTTATCATTCTGTTCCTGGTTGATCACATCTGAGTAATAAGGTCATTGTTCATTTGACTTTTCCTCTGTATAATGAACATAAAACACATTATGAAGATATAACATTATGCTAAATGAGATAAATCAGATGTCAAAAGACAAATATTGCATGATTTTATTGAAACATGGCACCTAAAATAGTTGAACTCAGAAGCAGAGAGCAGAACAGTGGTGGCCAGAAGCTTTAGATAGGGAGAGGGATGGGAGTATGTTGGTTGAAGGATACAGGCTTTCAGTTATAAGATGAGGAAGTTCTGGGGGGTACATAACTTACGTTTGACTTTGTTTTATAATATTTTATTGTTGAGATATGATAAGAGCAGATTTTAGGTGTTTTCACTCTACGCATATGCAGATGATAGCTAGGTGTGATATGCAAATGTGGTTGTGGTAATCATTGCATAGTTTTCACACCTTGAATATATATGATTTTTCTGTCTATTATACTTTGGTAAAGATGGGGGGAAATGCCAAAAATCACAAAAAGAGGAGCAGACTGTTTTATCAGCTCACTTAGAAAAGTGATCTCATTGTTTTATACTTAGACATGGTATACTGAAGACTTATAAAAGCCTAGCTTTAATTGAGTTAAATTGGATTTTGATCAAGAATGTTGAATTTTGCTCAAGAAAAATTTTGCTATTATAATTTGAACTACACGAGGAAAATTGCTTATATAGATTGACAATGTGTTTTAAGTTTTTTTTTTCTAGAGCTACTGTGTACAATATGAAAAAAAAGTGCCACAGTTTTACATGTTTTGAGTAGATTAAATTGTGAAAATCATTACCTTGTGGAGTGCATAGTTCAATATTCATAGCTAGCAAGCCCACCCTTGTGTCCTGTCTTTGGATGAGGAAACCAAAATTCAGGAAGATTATTTACCCAAAGTCTGGCTAGTAGGAAAATAAACTATGGAGATTGTTTTTTTTTTTTTTAGATATTACCTATCACCTGCAATTTCTCTGCTGTTATTTGTATTGTTTGAAAACATTTACTGATTAACTTTAAGATTTGCTTGAATGCAAATAAAATACTCTGCTGTAGTGTGTTTTTCTAGATTTTATGTGAACTTTTCAAAGTAGAGACTTGTGTCTTTCTCATGTTACAGACTATGAAGTGAGAGAGAAGCAAAATGGAAGCATAGAATAGTGTTGGAAGGGACATTAGAGAACAGCCTTTTGAGAAAATTGCTACTCACAGAGGTCAGTAATGTTTCCAAAGTCCATTAGATTATTGATGGCCTTTCCAGGATTAAACTGCAACTAGAGTTTCCTCTATTTCTTGATTTTCCTATTCATTGTTTTCTTTTTACTTTCTTCTCCTCCTCTTTTGCTTTTTCCTCCTTGTTCACCTTTTTTTCCCTTTTATTGAAATATACTTGAAGTGTTATAAAATTCACCTATTTAAAGTATGTAGTTCAGTGGTTTTTAGCATATTTATAGTGCTATACAACCATCACACAATCAAATTTTAGAACGTTTTCATCAGTGTGAAAAGAAATTATGTATCCATTAGCTCCTCATCCTCGTCGTCATTGTTGTCATTGTCATCCTCTTCCTCCAACTTTGTCTGTGTTCCACCCCAGGCAGTTACTTCTGTGATTTTCTATAGATTTACTATTTTGCTATTTTAGACATTTCATATGAATGGATGCATATAATGTGTAGCTTTTTGTGTCTGACTTCTTTCACTTGGCATAATAGAGTTTCATCCATGTTGTAGTATGTATCAGTACTTCATTCTTTTTCATGGTTGAATACTGTTAAACTGTGATAGCACAATTTATTTATCCATTCGTCAGCTGATAAGCATTTAGATTTTCTCCATTGCTGGGATATTGTGAATATTTCTGTTATAAACATTTATGAACATTTTTTTGGAGGGTGTATAGACATGTTTTAGGTTTAATGTATGTAGTACCTGAGAGTGGAATTGCTGGGACATAGTGTAACCCTGTGTAGTATTTTGAGGAACTGCCAAACTGTTTCCATAGTGTATTCACACCAGTAGTGTATGTGGGTTCCAGTTTCTCCATATCTTCACCAACACTTGTTATTGTCTATCATGTTCCTTGAAGTGGCATGTCATTGTGGTTTTGATTTGCCTTTTACTAATGACTAAAGAGGTTGAGAAACTTTTTCATGTATTTATTGGTCATTTATATTTAGAGAAATGCCTAATTTGTCTTTAGCCCAATTTTAATTGGGTTGAGTTGTTTTTTTTTTAAACATTGTATACTCTGTTCACTTGTGTGCTCTGGATATAAGTCTCTTGTCAACTGTGTAATTAGCAAATACTTTCTTCCATTCTGTGGGTTATAGTTTCACCTTCTTGATGGTATTCTAACATTATGTTTTCTGACAGTACACTTCTGTGAGAAAATATCCTTATAATTTCATCCATAGTCTTTGTTATTCCTTAGTATCAGATAAGTATTTGAAAGGATTTTGTGCCTTATACATTAATTTTTTGCATATGCCTTAAGGCAAGGCAAATATAATGTCTAAATTATCAATAATTTATGCAAAGAGTAGATACAGTACTGTCATAGGGTCAATCTTTTGAAATAATGCTGAAGTTCTGTTTGTATTCCCAGATCATCCCAAATGGTTCTGGTGCTTTCTTGGTCATAATTGTAGATAGTAAGTTTCTAGTGAAGAAAGGATATTTTTTGGTTATGTCTTATAGGAGGCTCTTAAGGAAGCATGTAAAACTTGTCCATTTTATTTACCATCATAACTGAAAGAGGCTTTATAAAACGTCATAATAATCTTCTAATTGCGAAGACCAGATGTTTTAAATTAAGTCAGCAGGTATTTAGGAAGCTTCAGCTGTGTTCTCAGGACTGTTCTGTGTCTCTCTGCAGTTATTTGCACTTGAATTTGAATGGCATGTAATTTAGAAAATATGGTTTCTGAATTTTCGTAAATCATAAGTGCCTTTTTCATAAATCATGGAAAAATTAATGTAAATACAGATAATCTTCTCTCTGTAATGAATGATTTTTGTTAAATATTGAAGAGAAGATTTTGGTGCATTTTTCTTCTCTAAATTCCCTTAAGGGTAGGTTGACCTACCATTACATGTGATTGTCAGACTTTAATGCTAGAGCGTCATTTTAAAGAATTTGTGTTTAATGTCTTAGTCCCCACAGGGCAGTAAGTAGCTCCTTGAATTTATTATAAATACTGGCAGGTTTGGAAATTTCTAGGTCACCAGGGAACTCTTGATTAAATTACTCCTGAAGTGCACTAATTGGTCTTTTCCACACTGCCTAGGAATTTCCAAGGAGACACTGACCACCTGGCAAAACTTCCCCTTCAGTTGCATCTCTGCTTTGTTTTCTTGAGCATTTTCCTGCTTTTGCTTTTAGGAAGGCACTTATTTTATCTCTTTCTGCTCTTTGATGATTCTAGTTTCTGATGAAGAATTGAAAAGAAGAGTGGCTGAAGAACTGGCATTGGAGCGAGCCAAGAAGGAATCTGAGAATCAGAAACAGTGAGTTTCATAGTATCTTAAAGAGATTTTAGTGCAGTAATAAGATATTATTTGTGTATGACTGAACTTCAAAATGTGCTAAGCATACAAACTTGGTGAGTTTTGGTTTTGAATTCTGCCTACTAGACCCCCTGTGTTATCCTCTTTGCAAACTTGACTAAATTATCATTATATCTTTTGATAGTTCTTAATTAAATGGGTTCTGAGCTTTGTTTTCTTAATATATAAGGACTATGTTGACGATTCCTCAGTAATTTTTAAATCTATTGAAAATGTGTTTTAAGATTGAAAATTAAATTGCCTGCTTTTATATATCAAATAATTTTATAGTTAATGATGAACATCATATATCATACACAGTACCTGAATGAATAGGACTAATTAGTATTGTACTCACTTGAAAATTAACATGTTACAAAAATTTGTCAAATTGAAAATTAAAATCCTCTATAATTCCATCTTGCAATCCCTACTCTTTTAACATTTATTACTCTGGATTTTTTTCTATGTACATGCTTCCATTTTATTATTGATATTATTATGAATGATTAAGAGGGCTCATTGAAGTGTTTTATAATGGTAGAAAACAGGAAGCAATCTAAATGACTATCCTAGGGGACTGGTTAGATGAATTATGGTACATGTCTGCATTGGAATACTAGATAGTCAAGTAGATCCTATATCTGATCCAAAAAGATGTTGAAGAGCTATGAACTGAAAAAAAGCAATGTACAGAATGGCACAGATAGTGTGTGTGTGTGTGTGTGTGTGTGTGTGTGTGTGTATATATATATATATTTTTTTTTTTTTAGTTAAAAAGTACTACTTTTTAAAGACTTAAAGTTTATACTTATGCATAAAAATGTGAGAATACATTTTAATCCAAGATAGTCAAGTGCTTCCCATCTGTGCTATTTCTGACATTTGCATATAGCACAGAGCATTCTGGTTATATGGTCATATGGAATGTCTTTTTACTGTGAGCACTAGACACATGCCTATCTCTAAATAGATTGTTAGGATGTATTTTTTGTTTTGGACTGCCTGTTTTGTGTGAGAGATCTAACATAGAGAATCTTTGAATTGGATTGTAGTCCTTACTGGCCATATACATCCTTTAACATATAATTTATCCTTTTTGGGCCTGAAGTATTTCATCCCCAAAATGAAGGGCTTGAAAAACGTTCTCAAATATGTTTTTTCTTTTGGCAAATTGCTAAGCTAACTCACAATTTGCACAAAACATATGGATCAGAATATAAGTTATAGATTAGGACTACCATTTTGTTAGGAAATAGAGAAGGCTTATGGCTTAGGTTTTAAAAAATCAAGATATAATTAGTATTGCCAAAGGGTCTGTGTGTATTTCAGTAGTTTCCCATGTAGTGTTTTATAATTATTTAATTGGGTTAGGTTGATTAGAGTATATAATTAGATAGTGCAGTTTAAATATTAAAAAAATTCAAATCACTTTCATTAAGAAGCAAACAAAATCAGCATGTTATGGTAGGATTTTTTTTGTTTGCAATTTTATTATTTTTAATTCAATTTTATTTTAATAAGGATTTTTTGTTATGCTCAGATTTACTTTGCTTGTTACATTTCACATAGGTTTTGGTTTGTTTCCTTTTTCTTCATATTAGTGTAGGGTTTTGTTAAAATAACTATTATTGGTTGTGTGTTTCCTTCATTATTCGAGTCCCCTTTGCTCTCCTTGGTCCATGAAAGAGAAAGGGCTGATGAGATGAATAAAAGGTGCCAGTGAGAGCCAATTTCATATCTCATGTGGAATGGGCTTGGCAGCCTAGCTCTAATCTGGACAAATGACTATTGATAAAGAATTTATTTTCTGTCACCTTTAAGGAGAGTAGAGGGTGGCACAGCCTTTATATATATTTTTTCCTTTTTTAAAAAGTGTTTTGTTTGAAGCTTCCTTCATGAAAACTTCCAGCTGTCAAATCTTGGCAAAAAGTCTGTGTTCATCTATGTGATAGTTCTTAGAAGAATCAAGAGATACTTTTTTCTTTCTTTTTTTTCCACCCACCAGAGAAGAAACCTTAGAAAAAAGCATTAGGAAAGTTTTATGTTCAGTCTTTTAAAAGCAACCTTTTGGAGTGACAGAGCATTTGTACATTATTGTATCTGTTGGCTATATTTGAATAAAGACTCACAAGCAGTTTAGAAAATGGCAGCTTGTGCCATTGTACTGTTGCTTGCACATGCCCTTCTTACCAAGCTGTCCTCTTTTCATCCCAATGCACACAGAACTGTCAACTAATTCTTTTGCACATGAGATCTGAACATGGGCATGTGTAATTGAAAGTCTCCCATACACTTGTTTGAAAAGGATTTTGGAATTCATTTTGCTTGTGATATTTTCTTTTATAGAATACTTATTATTAGTAAAAAGTTTTTAAAAAGTCCTTTTCATTATTTTAGAAATTGACACATAAAAAAGACTAATTGTGTATATTTGTGGGGTAGTATGTGATGCTTCAATAGATGTATACATTGTGTCATGTTCAAATCAGGGTAAGCATATTTGTCTCCTCAAATATCATGTTTTTGCTGTGAAAATATTTGAAATCCTTTTTTCTAGTTCTTTTCATGTTACCCCTCTCCCCCTTTAAAATTCATGGTACATTCTAAGTTTACTTACAACCAGAGAAATGTAAAATGAATCCCCATAATCCATCACACGGTTTTAACAGCTCTTGTTTCACCTACACTTCTATCCATTCTACCAGGAAAAACAGTAAAATTTTTAATTGTCTGGTGAACTTTGTGGGAGGAAGAAACCTTGGAATGTCTGCTATCTAGGTAACTCAAATAAGCATCTTGTTTCTGTTAGGTTTCTTTGGTTGAAAGATTAAAATTTAGCACTGCTTAACTTAGGAAGCAAGGAAATTTTAGAAGCATATTAGATAGTTCAAAAGAATCAAAAGAAATAGTAGAGAATTATTAGCTAAGGAAGAACTGGGTACTACTATAACTGTACACAGTGGGAAGTATTTCCTCAAAAGGTGATCAGAGTGAGGGCTCCATAACAAAGGGGAATGAATAGTGGGTGGCTGAATTCCTTTAAATTGAAGCTGTTATTGATTTTAAGAGGTACCACAAAGAAAAAAATTGCTGCAAATTATAACAATAGTGTATCTCTTAGGGTTCTCTTATTTTTTTTTTGGTACCAGGGATCAAACTTGGGTCCTTGTGCTTGCAAGGCAGTCGGTGGAACCACTGAGCTAAATCCTCAGCCCGAGGGTTTTCTTATTGAAACAGCTCATCAAGACTGATTTTGGACTTTTTAAAACATCACTTATGTATTCATAAAAAGGAAAGAGTAAGCAAAATAAATTGATTAAGGCAAATTTACAATTTACAGTTTACCCAAATTCCTGACCCCTGAATCACTCTTGCTTCTTTTTTACTTCCCCCTCCTCCTTCCCCTCATACTCATTTGCCATAGTGCTGTCTGTCCCCCAGAAGTTCCTTAACCAGGGCTGAGATAATGGTAGCATCGTATTACTGAGTCTCCAGAACTGTAAGCTAAATAAACTTCTTTTCTTAAAATTAGCCTGCTCTCAGATATTTTGTTACAATAATGAAAAATGGAAAAATACATGCAATAGTGAGTGTATATAGCCTAATAAGAACAGAAAATAATTAAATTATGCCTTTAAAATTAAACATTAACCAAAGACTATAGATACCGGTCTTATAAATCTTTGTTTTAATTTAGTGTAGTGTTAAACACTGTTTTCCTGTTATAGACACAAATTACACAGTTATGAAAATTACAGACCTTCAACCTGCATATAATTTCTAGATTCATAATAATTTAAGAAAACACATCAACTTTAAGGGAACAAGTACTGCTGATAACTAGTATTTACCAAGGTTTATCATAAAGGCATAATTTTGAAGTAACCTTAAATCAATTTGCAGTCTGTATTTTCTCATGTCAGTTACAACTAGCACAAATGATTCTCACTTCTAATTTATAAAATATTTGGGAAGAAGTTCGTTACAGAAAGTTGAGTTATAAGTCTTCAGTGTTGCACCCTCTATGTCCACGTAACTCAGACTGCTGTGCAGAGATACGGGCTTATTTCCTAGTGCCAGGCTTCATTGTACGAAGTAGATGATTTGTTGGCATTAACCCCAGAAATTCCTTCACATGCCTCAACATTTAAGCAATGTTTCTGGAGTACAAAATCTCCACTATTTTAGAGTTTTCTTATTAACTTCATTTTAGCTCTAGTATCCTCCCTCCCACTTATTGAATTGCTGTTGTTTTATACCCATACTTTACCATTTCATTCTGCTTCAAAGTAGATAAAGACGTAAGCGTTCTGAATGTAATAAGACAGTCACATCCTAGCCACTCAGTATTTTTCATGGGAGGATGATCATAAGTGGTGTTTATGTACTAGGTTTTGGAATCTTGTGCCATCTGCTACTTTCATCTTTTTTCTTCAAGTGACATTTCTCTATTTTTAATAGAGACAACTGCTTTTCTATAACCAACAATTACACAGAGTTAGATTATTCAGTCTGTTTTTTATTCATATCTTTTTACTTCTTTTTTCAAATTCAGTTTTCTTTTTTATTGATGCTCTGCTCTTGTAGATTCCTGCTCTGAATCCTGTTTGAGAAACTATTTTTACATGGCAGGAATCTCAAATCTGGAAAACCAAAGCCAATCAAACATGCCATAGAAATCTGTAACTTTTTTACTAGTTATAATAGCAGCAGTGATGTTCAGCTACTTCTGTTCAAATGGTTCTTTTGACAGTAATTGTAGTGTTTTCACTCATGAAGCATAGTGTTTGAAGTAATTTATGCCAAAGCAGGTTTCTGCATTTGGAAGTTTCTAAGAATTCATTTCTCAGTGTTCTGTTGTTATAGTAGTCCTTGTCGAAGTTTCTCCATTACCTGGAACAATCTAGGTTTTCATTTTTTGAGTAGGAGAGGGAGTTGTAGTATATTCTATAAATCATTTATTCCTTTCATAATCTGTTAATGCTTATTGTCAGTTTTGTCTTTGTTTTATAAAAGCAGGTGACTGAGATAGACATATGTAACGTTTTTAGTCCGCAGGAGAATCAGACTAGACTTGGGCTGCCTCTTAGCCCTACTCATACTGTTGCTGAGGTGCTAAGAGTTCTGTTGTCTCTCATCATTATGTAAATATTTATTCAAAGGAAATCCAACATGGAACCTGATATAAAGCAGATTTAAGTGCTCACTGATTGTATCTAGGACTGGACACTTAAGAGCTCTGTTAGCCTTTTTTCACTGTTTTTCTTTCTCTCTCTCTCTCCTTTTTTTTTTTTGGTATTGGGGATTAAATTTTCACTGTTTTTCTTCCTAGAGAGTTTAGAGTCACCATCGCTGGCCTTCTTGCTGTGTAGGATTCTTTCAAAAAACCCTGGGACAGGATTATTTGCTCTCAGATTTAGACACCTTGTGTATGAGAAGTACATTTTTAAAATCCACATAGCACTTTTGAGTAGATTCAGTTTTGTTTCATTTTAGAAAGTGAGTGGGCATTGGCCTAACGTCCATTTCCTTAATCCAAAAGTCCATTTTTATGGGCAGTGATCCACATAAGTTGGGTCAAGCTCTGGTTGTCCTTAGTCTTGGGCTTCCTGGAGGCCATCTGCTTGTCCTGCTGGTCATGCTGTGTAGGAACAGTGTAGAAGAATGTGAGGTCCTTCTATAGAGACTATTAACTATGGGAATACTGGAGAAATACACAGAGAGCGCCCATCTCCTTCCTTTCCTCTCTTCAGTTTAATAGCTTTGTTGATTCAACCTTAAGCTAAAAGGGAGTACTGGTATCATAGTTGTAAAGCAAATGTCAGTTTTTATGTCAGGATTATATTATTTCCAATCACTGGTACATTTTCCAGTTTAAGTAATCACTTCTTCCCCTTCTGGTTTTTTTTTTGCGGAACCAGGGGTTGAACTCAGGACCTTGTGCTTGCCAGGCAGGCATGGTGCCACTGAGCTATATCTCTGGCCCTACTTCTTCCCCTTCTTTTCCTGGTTGGAGAAAACTCTTAAGAGTGACTCTTCTCTGTTAGACATTTTATTGAGAGGACCCATATTCTTCTGTATCCCATTCTTATTTGGAAGCAGGTATCTTTTGTCTTTCATAAAAACTTTCGTTATAGTTTATAGATGACATACACATAGACCATGCATGGTAAAGTCATTGCATTATCAATGAAAACCATTTCAGCGTAGAAAACACATATGCCCAACATGAGAAAAATAATAAAAATAGGCATTGTTTTCTTCCACTTAGTGTATATTTCAAATCCTCACAACATCTTTATTTTGGAGGTATTACCATTATCCCCACTTTTTAAATGAGGGAACGGCCTAGGACACTTACCCAAGGTCATATCTAGTAAAATGTTGTGCTGGGATTTGAACCCTTGTTTTTACAGAATTTGTGCTCTTACCTACCCCGTAATATTAATTTCTCTGTACAGGGAGTGCCTTCTTTAAAGTTTTTCATTTACTTTATATTAAGGAGTAACAAGTGTTTACTTGGATTTTTTCTTCTGAACCATTTTTATTTTTATTTATTTATTTATTTATTTTTGTACCCGGGATTGAACTTGGGTCCTTGCGCTTGTGCAGCAGGTGGCGAAACCACTGAGCTAAATCCCCTGCCCTTCTAAACCATTTTTAAATAAGAAGTTTCTTAGAAACAATCTGTGGGGACTGGTGATGTAGCTCAGTGGCAGACCATTTGCCTAGTATGTGCCAGGTCCTGGGTTCAATCTCTAGCACTGGAGGAGGATAAAAGTGTGACCTGTATGATATTTTAAAATTTGTATGCTATTTAAAAAAAATTTTATTATAGGACCAAATGCTTGAGAATCTGTTTAAAGTTAAATTTTTTAAAAATATAGGCTACAGTTTACTATTCAATGCTTGTTTGTGTGCACATTTTTAGTGATGGTGGCAATCTGAATTTCCTTTTAGTTCAGTTCTTATTAGCTTAAGACAGACATTTTTCTTAATAGCTCAGTGGGGAATATGTGGAAGCAGATGGTATCCTGCCTTGTAAACTTTAAAGATGAGTATCTACTTCTGGTCAGTGAGGCATACATGTGCCCACTGGTGGTCTGCTGAGTTGTGGTTCAGTGGAGCAACTTAAGCACCATCCATGGTGGGAGAATTTGTCAACCCCCCTTCAGGAGTCAGGAAGCAATGAAGAGGAGCAAGACTCACTTTAATAGATGATTTCAGAGCAGAAATCATTTTGTATTTCTATTCCTTAGACTTTTAAAAAAACCAGGAGATTTTGATTTATACCATTATTTTGTATTGGTTGTATTGCTTGATGTGTTGAGTTTTTGGTTGTACTGTTTGCCCCTAGTTTTGCTGTTGTATAGTACTATACAGTAGTACTGTTTCTATATGTTTGCCTTTTACATGACAATCAAAGTCATCACATTTAGTCTACAAACTTACATGTTTTTTAATTGATTAAAAAAGTTAGCTCCTGGGGTAGTTTGCCTTTGGAACAAGAGGATTGAGTTCCTTCATTGAAATGTGTGTAACTAGCATGAGAGCAATTTATTAGTTATACACTATTTACAATTGCTTCCTTACATATAGACTGTCTAGTGCCTCCAGGCTTCAGCCATTTCATTTGGAAAAATTTTCGTTTTATCCCATTGAAATGATTTTAGTGTGATTTTAATGTCACGTGTAAAGCATAGAAATGGCAGTTAGCCATGTAAATGTTTTCACTTACGAGTTAAATTCAGGTTCCATCACAACTTCTCAGAATGGATCTTTTAGATGGTTTATTTCCTAGAACCATTTTGTGAGTGCTGATTATATTAAAAGAAAGCCTCTTAAATATCCATGAATTAACATATTTTTGCCTTTCTGGTGAGGTTGATGGATTAAAATGAAACCACACCAAAATAGTACCCAAAAAAGTGACTGAAATCACTAGTTTAATGTGAAAAAATATCTTAATTAAAAGACCATAACTCAACACTTTCTGGAACTCCTTTATTATTTCTGTAGAACCAAGTAGGAGTACCTAAGGTTGTAACTCAGTGATAAGAGTATTTGCCTAATATTTGCATGGCTCAGGATTTGATTTCTAACACTGCAAAAAAACTAAACAAACAAACCAGGTAAGTTTGACTAAGAAAGGCCATTTCTCCAACTACAGGGATAATACTGATTTATTAAAAAAGTTTAGCAAAGAAATATGCACCCCTTTTCACCTTCTTTCTCCCCTTGACTCTTTCCATCATAAAATCATGCACATTTCTGCCAAGTGTTTTACGATTGTGTCTCCCCCACCCCCCCCCCCCCCAAAATCATATCGGGGAAATCTCTCTCTCTCTCTCTCTCTCTCTATATATGTGTGTGTGTGTGCATGCGTGTGTGTATAGTTTTTAAGCATAATAAGATTGAGTAATGTTGTATAACTGCTTTTTTCTGTATACTGTATATAAATTTCAAGAAAATTTTAGATTGGGTAATAAATATCATTTAAGAAGACTTTCCCTAATAAAAGTAGTACTTCTAATAGTAATAATATGTGATAATAAGTAATCATATATAATAGTAATAGCTCACATTTTAAAATCATTTCCTTTATCCAAGCACTTTGCCAAAATTATTTTATCCTTACCGCATTTGTGTGAGGCAGGTTTTCTTCTGTCGATCTCCTCACTTTGTTAATAAAGTGGTTGAAACAAAGAAGTTCCCTTGCTTACAGTTACAGCACCAAAAAGGACAGCAGTTGGGGTTGAACCCAGGCAATCTGGCATCTGAAACCACACTCATTTTCACTTGGGTATCGAGAGTCTCAGAAGCTAAATTGTTTTCTGGTCCAAGAGTGATGTTTCCTGTCATATGAATGCTCTGTCTGAGCCTCTTTTGAAGTTTACCCAAGGTTAACATTTTACAGGTTTCATCACAGTCACCAGTATTTGATTATGCAGCTCAATAAATAAAGAATTTAGTTTGTGAGGAAATTCACACATGAAAAGACTTTTTTGGTGTTTTTGTTTTTTTAATTCACATGACTATATTTTGAATTAAAACTGTCAAAGGACTGTCAAATAGTAGTTTAAGATTAATTTTTTCTGTAGATTTTGCCATAATTTGTTGGAAATCGTTCATTTCTTTATGAATATATCTGTCAACTGTTCAATTTAGTTTTTATAGAATTGAATAAAAGAAGCCCAAACCATTATCCAAGTGAGTTTTTATAACTTGTCCAACACCATCTCAGTTTGTCTTAGAAAGCTCTTTCTTTAAACTATTGAAGGTATAAGTGATGTTAGTTTAGCAAAAAGATGAATGTAACATTAGAATTTTGATTACTAGTTATTCTTGATTCTTTCTTCTTGCCTTTATATCCTCATTTTTCCCTTTCCAATTAATTTGGCCCTGATATCTGTACTTTTACAATATATTGCAAATCCATAACCTTTCACCATTTATATTTCTACCTTAGTCTAAACCAGTGGTTCTCAACTGTGAGAGATTTTGCTTCTTTCTCTTATGAAACATTTGGCTGTGTCTGAGGAGCTTTTAGATTGTCACAACATGTCCTCACTTTCCCCTTTCCAATTAATTTGGCCTTGATATCTGTACTTTAAAGATATATTGCAAATCCATAACCTTTCACCATTTATATTTCTACCTTAGTCTAAACCAGTGGTTCTCAACTGTGAGAGATTTTGCTTCTTTTCCTTATGAGACATTTGGCCGTGGGGACCTTTTAGATTGTCACAACATCTGGGCTACTACTGGCATCTAGTAGGTAGAGGCCCATGATGTTAATAATATGCTGCAGTGCACAGAACAGCCCCTTAAAACAAAGAATTATTTCATCCAAAATGTCAATAGTGCTGAGGTTGACAAAACTTTGTCTAAGTCATTTTCATTTCTCTTTTGTACTGTTACAAAGTCACCTGTAAGGATTCACTTTTGTTTTTCAGATTTTTCATCGCAAAGTAGCATTATTGTGTTTTAAAAAAAATATTTTGAATTTTGTTGATGTCTTTACATAAAACCTTCTTGTGGCTTTTAAAATTAGTTTTAGCATAAAGTCAAAGCCCTTTCTTTTGACCTTTTGTCCTGTGCTTATCTTTATATATATTTATACACAGATTTTCTCTCTCTCTCTCTCTCTGAACACTTGAGCCATGTAGGATGCCAAACTTGTTTGTGCTTACAGCTTTTTGTCAAGAATATTTGAACCTCATATTTTGTATGATTAGCTCCCTCTTATTGTTCATGGTTCTCAGTTTCACAGAGAGGCTTGACCTGGTCACTTAGTCAAAAATAACTACTGGGTTCTTGTTTTTACATCTTCTCACTCAAGCTGCCCTTTTCCTGCTTTATGTTACTTTGGAGAACTTTAATTGTTATTGTTTCCCTCCTTCTACACTAGAATATGAAATCTGTAAGAGCAAAACTCATTGTCTATTAGGTACCAAAAAGAATATTAGCAAATTACAGTAATAGTTTACTTGTTGAGTTAGTAGATTAAAACAAGATAGAATTTGTAAAAAAAGAAAAAGAGGCTGGAGAAGTTGTCTTCTGACAACAGCAGGTATCATTTAATGATTGCCTATTGTGTACTGATGGTGCATTGCACACATTAGTTCTGAATTCCCCAGGAGCCCTCTGGTGAGGCCTGCTTAGTCCATGTGTTGTTCCTTTGAGATACCTTCATTTCTTTTCCAGGATCCAAGGCCTCTGACCTCTGGATGTGGTAGCTTTGTTTTCTGTGGGTTTGTTTTACAATCAGAAAGCAGCTGGGTGAGAGTTAACGCCCTTACCCTTAGCAGTATTACTGTCAGAAGGCATCATCCAGATTCAAATCTGGTTCCCTTTTCCTTGTACTTCCTTTTCCAGTTTTCATGGTTCCTAGGAAGCAGCTGTGACTCATGTCCCTTCCACTAGGCTTCCTTGGCTTTCAGTTTTTGATATTGTGACAACATTTATACTTCTGGGCATTATTTTTTGCTTTCAAGTGACTGAGGCAAAAATGATCTACCTTTCCATTCTGTCCAGAGACAGTTGCTTGGTTGCTTTATTTTTAGTGAACATTTTCTAAAAGTGAAAACCTGACAGTTCACAATGTATTTTAAACTTTGATTATATTTATTTTTGGCCAAAACCCTACTCAAAATTTGTAACTACATGTGAAATGTATGCTACATTATGCATTTATATTTCACAGGAGATAGAAACAAAACATGTTTTACATATTTTTTGAGCCTAGATATTTGGGACAGTCAGGAAATATCTTGTATCTTGGGGCATATACCTCTGATTTTTTTTGCCATGGTTCTAGATTAAGAACATTGGATTTTACAATCAAGGGAAATGTAAAGTAATATGGATTTGTATCTTGAATCTCAACATTCTTTATCTGGTTTGGTGAGAGTTTTTGTTGAAACCTGAGAGACCATCTTATCTCTACTCTCTTGCTTTCCATGCCCCTGGTCTCCAGTACTTCCTCCTGGGAATCTGGATCTCCCCAAGGCACCAGAGAAGGCAAAGATCCCATAGTGGCACAGTGAATTGAGTTTCATTATGTTCTCGTTCATTTGATAAGTTGAAGGTTGCCTTGTGCTTCATGCCCTCTTGTATTTATCCTCCCACTCACTATCTTTGAATGTTTTTTTGACTGTTTTTTTGGTTTGCTTTTCATTTTCTCACAGCTTGTCATAGGAATGACACACACTCAGCAAACTCAGCTTTAGACAGCTTTTTGCAGAGAAGAACAACAAATTCAGTAGTCAGGGAACAAAGTGAGAGAAAAATGAAGAACAATATTAGAAAAGAACCCTTTGGGAAACTGCACAAAAAATGTTATATTAAAATCGATACCAGGGCTTGACCTTTTGTGGTACTGTATATTTTAAAGCCTGCTATTGATTCTCTCTTAATAACATGTTTATTCTAGTTTACTGACATAAGCCTAAGGAGACTATAAAAGGAAAAGATCAAATTCTTTATTATGGTGGTCATTTAAATTTGTGCCAGGCATTCTTTTTTTTTTATGGCTTACTCGTGTTACCTGTATGTATTTAGCAAAATGTTCTTCTGCAGTACAAGTCTTGGAGAGGATACAAAGCGAAATTTTGTGTTTTTTTTTTACTTTTAGTATTGAAAGTGTTCTTGATGTTGTTGTGCCTGATAGCTCCCCAAAACAAATTAGAATCTTTTTGTGCTTTTTTTCATGTGTTTAGAAGGCAGAAAAATTTCATTTTGATTGATTTTCCTTTTTTTTTTTAAGTTCTGAAAACCATTGGTAATCTATCTAGTTGAGGTACATTTGGTGATACTTCTCTGCATAAAGGAGCCGTCTTTCTTTTTTTTTTTCTTTTTTTTCTTTTTTTTGGTATAACCAGTGGCACAATGTTGAATAGGAAATCTACTAGCTGACTCCACTGATGGCTCAGTCTTGTCATTTCAAAGATAGGAGTATTTCTTGCTTTTCACTGTGAGGCCATTTCCACCCCACTTAGGAAGACATCTTCTTAAGGATGTTGTCCAGTCTTGAAGTAGTTGCTCTGTGTCTCATCTCCTCCAGTTTTTTCCATTAGAGAGAAAACAGAATTAATTTTCTTCCCTTTCAGTTGATTTTCTCCAACATACAGATATTAAGAGATATCCAGAATAGCAAGAAGGACCTGAGAGATCTACCTGGAAAGGTTATCTAGCAAATGGCAAATTAAATGAGATTCAACCTGTGGAACATCAAGTTAATAGGCTTGGGGAGAAATAGGATGCTTGGATCTCATTCATGGTTTAATATGATAGTCCTGTTGTTTATGGGACATCTGATATCACATATTAAGAAGCCAGACAGCAATTCCAGGAAGTCTGTAATGGACGAGAGGACATTTTGAAAGGACAAATAAATTAATGAAGAAGCTAAAAGAATTGGAAGATTGAAATACATATATTATAGCATTAGGTCTGGAAAAGGCTCAGTAGTCATGTGATGGGTCCCTGAGGAGGTTCAGAGAATAGAATTAGGGGCTTCTCTTAAGCCCCTAAATGCTGGAGGAACCTGGTATCAGCAGCTGTCATTCTCCCCACTGCTGTGGGTGGGTCAGGCATTGCTTCCTGAGCTCTGGCATGCTTGCTAGGATTGTAGAAGGTAAGTGCCACAAAAGGTAGCCTGGAAGTATGCAAAAGTAAAACTCACATAAAACCATGATTTAAAACTAAAGCCTTGTAGTCATGTTGACCCCATGGTAGAAACTGAGTTATGATATGTGTTCAGAAAGGAAGTGAGGACGAGAAGACAGTAAATAAAGATGCTGGAAGAGTTAAGTGGGCCACTTCCAGAGTCTGCTTCTTCTTGCTTCTTTTACCTTGTCTCATAGTCACTTCTTGATAATAGCTTGGTTTGTTTTTCTGTGTTCTATTGTCATCCTACCCATAAATATCTTCTAGAACCTAAGAATATCTAGAGGTCAAAGTGAAAAATGATATATGATAGTAATAAATTTTTTTCCTAGTTACAAAAATAGCACACTATATAAAAAATTGGAGAAATGTAGCTAAACAAAATGAAAAAAAAAGAAAGAAAATTGTTCATAAGCCTAGTATTTACACAAAACCAAGTAAATATTTCGGTATACAGATATATATCCACAGAAGAAAAAAATAGCAGAAGGGGTGTCATATTGCCATTTTTTATGAGCTGTTTTATATTTGCTCTTGGGATATATCATGAACATGTTTTGTCAGTATATAATTTCATGGTAGTTCACTATTAGGCATTCAGGCTTCCATGTAAATAGTTCAGAATGTTTAACCATTATAAACACACTGCATTAAATATCTGTGTTATTAAACTTACACATACCCAATATTTCCTTAGGGTAGATTCCTATAAGTAGGACATACTAGTTCAAAGTCATACAAAATGTCATTATTG